ACACACACACGAGTACAACATCCAGACCCCCCTTCCAGTCCTTCTGGCTCTCATCTGCCCCCTATTTCCCAACCCTGCCACCTCTGTCTCCCTGTCTCTGGTCTCATCCCATGTAGCCTGTAAGTGAGCTGTCTCTTTGTGGGCGGCGGCCTCCTTGTCTCCTTCCATGTCTCAGATCTGAACCTGTCAAACCCCCCACCCCCAACTGCATCCCCCTCTCCTACAGCTCCCAACATTTCCCTATCCCCAATCAATAGGAGTGCCATGAATATTTCACACACCTCAGGCAGTCATGGGGGAGTCGGGAGGAGGAAGACGAGGAGGAGGTGTGTCCTGGTTGCTGGGGTAGGGGGTGAAGAATGGATGGATGGGGAGCCAGAGAGGGGGGTGAGGCTGTCAGGGCACCAGCGTGGTGAAGAGATGGGGCTTCTCTTCTCGAGTCCGACAGGGCCAATAACTCATTAGAGGGAGAGAAATGTAAAGGTTAAGATGTGACAGGAGGAGACAAAGATGAGAGGAGGGCTTTCTTCTCCTTTTTACACTTTTTTGTCTCCTTCATCCTTTTTTCGACCTCTTTCCTTCTACTTCTATCCAGATCTCTCTCTCTTTTTAACAGCACACACACACACACACACACACACACACACACGCACGCACACCCCTATCCTGTCTTCCCCCAGCAGCTCCCACTAACCCCTCCCCACCTCCTCCTCCTTCCATCTGTCTTTCTTGCTGCAGTGCCCATGCTGCCAGCCAGTATAAATCACATCTCTGGGCTGGGCTGCAATGGGCCTGAAAATAAAAAGGCATAAAAGTGTCGGGATGAGCTACGGGCTTGGAAGGGGGGGGGATTCCTTTATGATAGGTCTAAATCCTCCTCCCACCCTGCTTCTCTCCCCATAGTGCACACACACACACACACACACACACACACACACACACACACACACACACACACACACACACACACACACACACACACACACACACACACACACACACACACACACACACACAGAGCTGTTGTAGACATAAGCCTATGTGCGACTCTGAAATCCTCCCCTTTCCAAACAGCCCTCGCTCCCATACAGACCACCTGTACAATTCAACACACACACACACACACACACACACACACACACACACACACACACACACACACACACACACACACACACACAGCCACATATCATATTAAGCTCTTTGTTGGCTGTGATCAGAATTGAGATGTCTCCTCACCATGTTTGCTCTTTAAAGGGACAGTCTGGCTAAAATAAGCATCTCTGGAAAACACATGCACTTTGTGAAAGGAGGAGATGCGTGATAATTGGAATGCAGCCCTGCAACACTTCATTACATTTGAAATGAATGTGCATGGGCAGGGATGAAGGAATAACTTTAACCCTTTAGGTTGGCTGATCTAGCATTGATATGAGGATTAAATTCAGATATTGGACATTTATCTCGGGGTAAATGTGCATCGAGTCCTTAAAAGCATTCTTTACTGCCTAAGATGGATTTTACAAAGCGTTTTACCTTGAGTTTGGAGCACAAAGGAGAGTCGCTTCTTCGTCCATAATGGTAATTGTGAACAATTTATGATCACTCTGGCCTCCATCTATGTATCGTTCTGAGTAAATAAACCAATAAAAGATGATTGAGGTGGCCCATAACAAATTGAAATGAAGCACACTGGCAGGGATGGATTGTTCAAGTTGCCCAAATGATTATGGGAATACAGATGGAGGTGAGTGGAGGCACGGTGGATGGGAAACTCCATCACCTGCTAAAATTAACCTACAGCTCCAAGTTCTTCTTTAATCTACGTCCTGATGCGCACTTAGTCAACTCTATTAGATCCCACTGTGTGTGGAATGAACCACACACACGCACACACACACACACACAGAGGGATGATGATAATGGTGAGCGCCTCCCCAGGTGAAGCCTATTCAGTCACAGTGGGAGCCATCTCAGACCTAATTATGCTAGCTTTGGCGTTTTAACTGTATTGATCAAAATGCTGAAACAAACAAGAAATGCTTATCAAGCTGGAAAAGGAGCAGTGTGTGTGTGTGTGTGTGTGTGTGTGTGTGTGTGTGTGTGTGTGTGTGTGTGTGTGTGTGTGTGTGTGTGTGTGTGTGTGTGTGTGTGTGTGTAGAGAGAGAGAGATGGTGTGAGGCTGGAAGATATCGGAGGTTGTAAAAAAGTGCAATTCTGAGGTTTTGAGTTATTAATTACAGCCTCCCCTCCTTCTTTAACAGCCATTAGAAATACTGCCACACAAATTATCACACTTATATGTTCACACGTGCACCCCTAGGGACACACACACACACAAATTAGCTCATCCATAGCAGCATTAAGCCTACAATACCCTGCTCTGATGAGCAAGCTCCTGCCGACCTTGGAACTCTCTGGAAAGACAATGCAAGGGGAGGCATGCTGCGAGCGGGGGTGGGGGGAGGAAGGTGGTGGGAGTTGATAAGATGGAGGGAGGGATGGAGAGAAAAAAGGAGAAAGGTAGAGTGCAAGTGAAGCTGTTCAGTGTGGGGCAGGAGGGCAGCGCTCCCCCCCCCCCCCCTGTCTCCATCTCAGCTCATCTGGAATGCAAATGTGGTTTCTGTACGGTTCCTTTGTGTCGCCTCTAACTGCTCCAGAGAGAAGCAATTACAACTGCTCCGTTCACTCAGAGAGGGAGGCACGCATGGATGGAGAGGGGTAATTAATAGAAAAATGTGGGGGGGGGGGGGCAATAACGTACCTGTGTAGGATCTTCAAGTATTGATTTTAAAATGCAGCTTTGCGTCTGTCAAGCAGCAACAGTGAGGCTGACTTGGTTCCTAATTACGGGACGAAAGGTCAAAGGTGAGAGGTTATTACAGCCACGGCGTTAAATGGAGTGTGTGTAATGCAAGTAAATACATCCCATTCATCTTGGAGTTCCTTCTCCACAGCGTCACCGGACACGGCTGCAGGATTTATCGGATCCACAAGATTCAGATATGAGATCACGCGCTGGCTGAGCCGGTTCTGAGTCTGCGGTCACAGCGGCCGGGCCGAGCCGGGCCGGCCTGGGCGAGGGCTTTTATGGCAGTCATTTGGGCTGATAATATGTCATCTCCATTAGCTGACTTTTAACACTCTCAGATAGGCGGCCCGCTGACATTTATCTGTGCGCGGGTCATATTTTAGCTGCTAAATGGCTGGCGAGCCTGCTCAGAAAGTGTGTGTTTCAGCCCGGTGGTGGCAGGCCTGGGGAGGAGAGACTGACTTTTAATGACGCCTCGCACAATAGCACTTGAGAGAATAATCCCAACGTACAACACCAGTCATGACCTTTGACCCCTCCCTAAAACACACCGCTGAGTGGAGGCCTGCATCCTCCAGAGTTAGACAGCTGAGCTGCAGCGTCAGCAACAACAACGTCCAAGCAGAGAAGAGACCAGGTAATTAACTCGGCAGCCTATGGAGAGATAATGAAGGCTAGGAGGAGAAGGGGAGAAAAATAGAAACCGGGTGAGGAGATCCACACAGGGGCAGGGTGAGAGTGATGCCGGCTAATTGCTCATATGGATTTTACCATTGTTGGCTTTTGTACGGTCAGGGAGGTGAGTCCATTCCCCGTGGTGGCATCAGGTGAAAGTCTAAATGAGCTAATAATTCACACTCGTAAACTTAAACCAATATTGACGCTGACCCGCTGCAGGATTCTGACCGTAAAGCAGCTGTAAATATGATCTACCCTTCATGTCGTTTAACTCGTGCACGACAGCACCTCCACCCCTTTAACATGGGAGTATGCCCCGAGTCACTTCACCAGCTGCCTGTAGGCACTTGGTCACCTTTCCAAAAGCACTGAAGTTGACTAATGCGACAGAAAATTAACAATTAAAAATATCACACGGGCCCGGCGCCATCGCAACGAGGCCCGTTCACAACTCAGTGGACGCCCTAATTGCTTTCAAATACAATTGGGTTTGGGCTTTGTTTGGTGTTTTGGAGGTATGACGCGCATCAATGCACACTGGAAATTGAGTTATAAATTACCAAGCTGAAACAGACATGTACGGTGAATACTCAATATCCAAATGCTGGATGTTTTCCCCTCCTTCTGAAAATAACAGCAGATGTGAGCACACACACACACGCACACACACACACAGCATCATTTCATTTTGTCAGAGAATGGACCCGCTCTGAACCAAGCAGAGTGTGTCATACTGTACGCCTGTCACAGGGTAACGTTGATAAGGTCAACCTTAACGGCAAACAGATTGAGAGCTCCAAACACAAACCAGTGGGACTCGGAAAATGACAGGATGAGAAAATGTTCATTCATGCACAGCCTTCACCAGCGCGTGTGTGTTTCACTACTGTCAGTGTTTTCAGATGTGTGTACACGTCCGTGTTTGCTGCATGAAAACAGCTCAGCGGCTGGTGTGAAGTCACTGACAGCTTCATTATGGCTGCTGCGTGCAGGGAGACAGCCGGTCCAGGAGAGGGAGGTTGACGCGGCGGGACAGGCCAGGTTTAACGCCGGGCCGACTGCACGTCCGTGCAGCGGTTTCAGGAGCAGCAGCTGCTGTCTGCTTTAATGAGCATTTGCTTCTTTCACCAGCTTTCAATTTACAACAAGTCCGGCTCATTCGCTTAGATGCCATCAGAAGCTGCCTCGTTCTCCTTGGGCGATGCCCAAAAGCAATCAGAGTTAAATTAATTAGCCCTCCTCATCTGTAGACCGTCTCACCTGGGAGAGCAGAGATTCGCACCAAACCTGTGGTTAATCACAACTACTCTACTTTTGTTTTAGTCGTAGGGGTAGCTTGAACTCATCTCTAAAGGTTTTCCTTTAGATGTTGCTCCCACTGGAAGTTCTGAACTGACAAGACCTCCAGATGAACTACAGGGCTTTGCTTTCACACTTCAGATGCTGTCAACACTCCCTCTACTGGAATGTTAGCAGAGTGCATTTTTATCTTCACAATAAAACAGATGTGTTACTTTAAAAAAGACAATTTATTTATCCTTCAACAAATAAAAAATATTAATACATTAAAAACAATTACATAGTTGAAAACGTGCCTTCATGACCACAGTGCAGCTTTAGGGTAATAAAATATGCTTCGTACTTAAGAACTTACTCTTAGATTGACTTTACATTTTGTACAATACTTTAAAAAGATGACAGTACTCCCAAGTACGAGTTCAATTAAAATTAGTGTCACAGTGGAAGAATGACACCATAAAAATTAAAACAATGGTCCTTGGAGGTAAAGAATCACAAGAGCTCAGAGGACTAAGAGGGGGTGCGGTGATGCACATCAGAGTAAACGTCCACACGCGTGAGACGGGAGGACAGCTGGGTTACAGATCTGTCTCAGGGTAGCGGAGGAAGGGCCTTTCTTCCACCGTGGCGTCGATGCTGAGCCCCGATGACACAGAGCTGCAGAGGGAAACCCAGGCTCATCAGTCAACATCGGAATCACTCACGTGCTCATGAGAGCCGAATACTAACCTTTCATAGTCTGAGTCAAAGGAAGTCTTGTCCTCTAAACTGGCGGCGTACCCACAGCGGGAACGCTGAATGGCTTCAGCCACCGTGTACCTGGTTTTACCAAGAGCACACCGTTCAATCCTAGAGATGCTCAGGTCCGACTGGAGGAACAGATGGAGATGACTGTCGGATAACAGCAAGGGATTCTGAAGAACACTGGAGAGGAGGAGAGGTCACCGTGAGAACATGGAGGGTGGGAAACCTACAAACACACAGAGAGCTTCAAACGCACATCTCCAAGAACTCCTGCAGGCCCTTCATCCTTTGGTCCACCTGCTGCCTGTTCTTCAGACAGAAAAACGGGTTCCAGGGCGGCAGCTTAGGCAGCTCTCTGTGGAACGAGGAAAAAAATCTTCAAGAAACAAACTACAAGTCCAGATTCTTGGAAACGTTTGAGTTTGAACTCACATCATCAGGCCGTTCTGAGCCAAACAGTGCCGCAGCCAAACAAACTCACTGTAACGGCGTCTGACACAGGAAGTCTTCTTCCGAAAACACATGCTGTTTGTCTGAAGAAAGCAGGCTTATTCAACTTGTAACACAAACCACATCCATTGCTTTTAGCAGCACTCACATGTAGACAAATCTCATAGTCGACATGCGTGTGCCAGTGATCGTCTTTGTGGAGTCTGGGATCTTGAACGCAAATGCCGACGAATTCCTACAAAATACAACAGAAAACATCTGAGCTTTGCAGAGTTATGGAAGTAAAAACTAAATTGTTTAAGTTGGCCTGAATTCTCAGTTTTGCCTACATAAGCGTGACATGATCTTTATCACTTACAGCTTTAGACAGATTCTCCAGAAGACCATCCATTTTTGGTGCAAATTCTAAGAAAAATGCAAAACAAACAAGCATGACGTATTAAATGCTTTGACTCGTTGCATAAACATCTTTGTTTACATAATCTATTATCTACAGTACAGTGCAGGTTAAAGGGGAACATTTACAAGGAAACATGTTTACCTATAACATGACGAGTGTGAAACCTGTTTTGTACAGCTAAGCCTAAGCTGGTAGTTAATACGGATCTAAACGCAGAAACACGGCTGATCTGGTACAACACTGAACAAAGGGCACAGGAGAGGTAGGAATGCAACAGTCCTCAGTGAAGATTAATACATGACATCAGAGTCCTCCCTACAGACAGGAACAATCATCTTAATCCATTTAATCACAGAAGATGAACAAATAAGTTATTTAAAAACCTGATTACTTCTAATTTCATCTGGAAATGCATCTGCAAATGTATTAAAACCTCTGATTAAGTGTTCAAGAGACTGTAGGATCTCATGTCCCTCAACAGATAGAAGATGCTCCATCTGCATTTCTCAACTGAAGCATAACTGATCAATGAGAGCAAACATCCTGACTTGGTCCACATGGCATCACATGAAACCCTGCTCTGATCTGACCTCATGGTCATGACATAAGAGCTTCTCGCTGCAGATAAACCTTTATCTGCTGGGGGGGGGGGGGGGGGGGGGTATTGATCACCTTCACAAGACTAGTCAATGGTAGGTGGTGTGTAGGCTTCTACAGAGTGTGCGTGTGGCATTAACATATGGATCCCCTCAGCAGGTTGTAGAACTAGTGTGTGTGTGTGTGTGTGTGTGTGTGTGTGTGTGTGTGTGTGTGTGTGTGTGTGTGTGTGTGTGTGTGTGTGTGTGTGTGTGTGTGTGTGTAAAATTAGTTAATATAATACATTTCCTCTACCAAGTGAAATAAACTACAGACTTCCTACCACAGAATGTTCATTTAAAAAGTCATAGACTGTCATTGCTATAGCATAAGGAAAGCACGATCAAATATCCCGATTATCCTACCTTCCATCCCTCCAATTACACGGACCTGGTCCCGGTGAACGACTAACACCGGTACCGGGCCGGTGCTGAAGCTGGAAGCTCAGTCTACCTGGAAGGTTTTGCTAATAGCTGCTCGGGGAGACCTTCCAGCTGCTAATAAACACCAAAACGGGACAGGAAACCCAGTAAAAATGTCTCGTTCTTTGTTAAATCACTAGTCTGAGCCGAGAGTAGCAAAAACGAACCCAAAACTCCATAAAGATGTTCGGCAGAGCCCCAGAGAACACCTAACTGCCTCTCAATCAGTTAGACCGGTATCAGCTTGTGGAAGGGGGGGAGGAGCTAACATCACAAGCTCCTAGTTTACGCATGCGCATTTACTCTTAAAACACCACACTGGGGCCCAGCTAAAATTATGGAAGCCCATTCCCGCCACTTAGAAAAAAAATGTTTTACATAATCTCAAAATTATGATTTAGCATGTCATTTTTATGTGACAGAATCTCATATGACTGACATTCAAACAAGTCAGGTTAAAGTTAAGCCTGTTTATACTCTGCAATGGAGAGACACAAGCGGAGTGTCAGAAATGTTTTCACATTCAAACCGGACTGCCCCACCACAAACCAGAAATCGGCAGGTCGCATATGTGACATCACCACATAATCTCTCCCCTATGTAGCAGCTACACATGGCCAGATTTATAAATAGAGAGGAAATTTGGCATACAATTCCGAAATTTATATTTGAAAAAGTTGGAGGAATGGAATTCCTATTAAGATGTGATTTTGAAATCCCGAAGTTGCCTCTCAAACTTTCTGAATTCCACAGACAAGTCCTCTTTTTTGGAAAAATGGTTTTCAAACATAACTTCAGCCCACATGATGTTCCGATATGGAATAATAGAACTATTTTGGATAGAAACAAAACCATATTTGTAAAAAGTTGGATGGACAGAGGAATTTGGTCAGTGACACATATTTTAGACGAAAATGGAAATACCCTTTCACTTAAGAATTTCAATCTCAAATATGATGTTGACATTTCTGAAAATGAATATAATAAGGTGATTAAAAATATCCCAAGTGCTCTGGTTCATCTAGTTAAAGCTTCTATCGGTTATATATTTAACCCTAGACTCAAAATATTAGCAGTTGATGGGATAGAAATTTTCAATAAAAAATGTAATAATATTTTCCTGAGAAACAAATTAAACAAAACCTTTTGTCCAAACCCAATACTCCGATTCTCGTTACTACACAACTTTTCAAAAGGAGAAATTAAAGTTTTGAGAACCAACTATCTAAAATTCTCTTTACCCTCAAAATATAAAGAAGTCCATTTTAAAATCTTGAATGATATTTACCCATCTAACCATTTTATACAAACTAGATTTAAATTCAATGTGGAAAAATGTTACTTATGCAAACAAAACAATGAATCGACTAAACATCTTTTCTATGAATGTGATCAAATTTTAATGATGTGGAAATCACTCCATGATTGGCTGAACTCCAATCAAATTTATATAAACAATTTCAAAGTTGAAGATATCTTATTTGGCATTATACTAAAAGATAAAAATAATGAATTTCTAATTAATAATCTCATAATCTTAACAAAATTTTTCATACACAAATGCCGATATCTCAAAAATCCACCTACGTGGAATAATCTCAAAAATGAAATTAAACTGCTGTTGAGATCCATAGGTAAAATGTCCACCCCCAATGCTATAAAGCTTTATGATTTCATTATGAACACTAATCTCTAACTGCTTTTTGGATGATATACACAATTGACCTTGTTTGCTCTTTAACTTCCCCCTTGTAAAACTTTATTTATATTCAAATAATTTGTTTTTTCATGCTGTCTTATTTGTATCCTTTCATGTTCAAATTTTTTTTTTTTGTTTGTTTATTGTCTTCTTACTATACCAAATTGAATTGTAGGTACAAAATGAAAGTTAAGATGAACACGAACTGTGGAGCTACTCTGTAATGTCATTCTGCTAACAATTTCTGAAATGTAGTCGTTTTTGTTCGTTTCACAAACGTTCAATAAAAGTTCTTTAAAAAAAAAAAAAAAAAAAAAAAAAAAAAAAAAAAACATGGCCAGATTTATGGTGGTTATTTCCTCCTGTGGGAAGTTTGCTGAACTTACCCTTTTGACTCAGTTTTCTCCGTGTCTGGTTCGATGACGCCATTTTCTTGAAGCACATTTGTAGTTCTGGACTTATTTTCACACAAAATCTAAAACTGTTTCCCCTGTTTGAAAATAAGCCCGTTCTTGGTATCAAAATATGTCTTTAAAATTCATGCATATGTGAAATCCATGGCACAAAACAAGCGTTTTTAGCCCCACTGACTTGCATTCATTTTTTTTTTTTTTTTCGTTTTTCCTGGGATCTGTGGTCCGGAAGTAGATGGGCGTGACTTTCAGACAAGGCTCCCTATGACCAAACTTCCATAATAATGCATAATTCGGGTCAGGATATGAACCAAAACAGGAAGTGAGAAAAATTTGCAGTTACACCCTCATCCGCTAGGGGCTGGTCTCAGAAGTTTTTTATTATTTTTTTAATAGAACTTTTTTTATACAACAAACAGGGCAAACATTCTATCAGTATCTAAACGTGTTGAATCAGCTTTTACCACAGAATTATAATAACACAAAGAAAAAGTGCCATGGTCCGTGGTGAGCTGCCTGCCTGTAACCCTGTTGTTCACAGGTGGGCGTGTCTGAGAGCTTCCAGCTGCAGCTAATCCTGTCATAAAGGTCCAGGGGATTTAAGGAGCAGTGTGACACTTCACTTCACCGGATGATTACTCTGTTTGGGTAGCTCTAGCCTTTTACCTGTCTTGAACCGGTATTTGACTAGTTCCTGTAATTTTTTGCCTGTGATCTTGTCGCCAGAAAGACCCTGACCGCTCTTCCCTGTTCCTCTCCAGGTTTTTGCTCCACACTCCATCATTCCATATCCACCTGGACTTCTACAACCTGATCACACTGCCTCCTCCTCTGGCCGCCCGCTCTCAGTCGCTCACCTGCACTCATCAACCTCCGCTCCTACCTCACCTCTGGATTAAACAGTTACTTCACCTTCTGGATCTCCCCTGCTCACCCGGACCTGACCTAGCCCTCCCCGAGCCTCTCACCACTACCTGCAATCAGTAAGCTCCCGTTTTAAGATTATTCTCCGTCATTCCCACCAAAAATTCACTCTTTCTCCCTCCTCAGAATCTCCTCCTGGAATCTTGCTGCCAGTCCTGCACTCATCGGTTCCCTTTTCTCCTCATTTAATAATAAAAACGTTTTTACGTACTCACCGGTTCTGTGTTGTGATTCTGCATGTCGTGGGTCAAGAAACTGCCTCCCACCATGACAAAAAGTAACTAACATAAAAGTAACTAACATAAAAACATGAAAGTGTGAGGGCCTTATTCTAGAAGTTTGAAAATATCCAACAAAGAAGATAGACATCTTTCTTCTCCATATAAAATAAACTTTTCTTAAACAGTTCCAAGTCCTTTTTCCATCCGCTTAAATGAGGCTTAACCTTGATGAATTTACATCTGTGGATAAAATGTTTTCCCAGTTAAATCAAAACATTTACCAAGAGTTCTTGATTTTTGTCCTTCAAAAACAACCCCACTTTTATAGCAGACCAGTTAATGGATTTACTTTACATGCTTAGACAAACAAGTGTGAACAGAACACCAAAAATCTTTGACACGCTCGCATAAAAAAAGATGATCAACATTTTCTATATTTCACAAAAACCACATGACTTATTCCAGTTAAATCTAACATGTAGAAAGTTATTGGATGGATAAACGTTTAAAATTTTGAATGTTACCTCCTTCGCTTTATGTGGGATTGGATAGGACAAATGTCTCCCTTATTTTCCTTCTCTCATTCATTAAAGTCATGTAAAATACATTTCCTTTTTGGCTGGTAAAGGTAATGTTGGATTGTTAAAATCTTACGGGCAAATTTGTTAGAAAATTCCATACTATTTATTCTAATTCCTTCTACACATAAAGATCTCATCTCTGACCCCTTTGTATCCTTGTTTGATGAGTCATCGTTTTGACAGGAACTGGAATGGCTTTAATGACTTTCTTGTATTCACTTGGTGAGCATATCATAAAACACTTATTACGCAAATCTTCACATTTCAAAAGATAGCCATGCTCATCCAGTAAATCAGATATCACCCAAATTCCTTAATCCAACCAACTTTCAATAACGATTTCTTATTTGATAGAACATATGTATTGTTCCACAAGGGTGAATTGTGTGGGGTGAAATGCTTGAATATTTGGTTCCAGTAAAGGAGAACTTGTTTATGATAGTCCTTTTACAGATAATTTTCCTATATCATAGTCACAACGCAACGGAAATTCTATCCCTCCAACTTTCTGAAATATTGTCTTGAGAATGCTGAACCAAAGGGAATCTTTAAACTGTACAAATGCACTAAGCCATCTAAACTTAAGCACACCATTTATAACCGCAAAATCGATAGCATTTAAACTGTCCTCGTCTATCTCCTTGACCAAATCAGCTTTCCTAATATACTGACATTTATTTTTCCAAATAAAATTATAATTCATACGATTGATAAGTTTAATTATTTTGTCTGAGATTTCGAGCGAATAAGCAGGATATATACTTCTTGACAGACTTTCCATTTTTGTTATCAGGACCCTTCCAAATACAGTGATGTCTTTCTGTAACCACGAGTCCAAAATAGTTTTACACTTGTTCACATTCTTGCTAAAATGTTCTCTCTCTTATTTCTTTGTCCTTGGTAATTACTATGCCTAAATATTTTAATCTGTTTTTTAACTGCCACATCAGAAATAGTTTTCAGATTGTTCATGTAAAGCAAAAATTTCACATTTATTAATATTTAATCTTAGGCTGGCTGCTTTAGAGAATTGACTAATGCCGCGCGCACACACACACACACAGATTCAATAAGCACGCATGCTGCGCAAACTCCGGCGCGCCGTCAGACTGAAGGCAGAAATGAGCTCTGCCTCCACTGCGATAAAAACTTTTAAGAGGTTTTATAACAACATTTTTAACTCAAGGTCAAATTAAGATATTAGCTTCAATTTTGGGATGACGTATTAAAGTCGGGTCTGCTCCAGTGACTCCGAACCTGACCACAACTCATGTTACTGCAGCATTTGTTATTCCAGTCCGCGTGGCAGCGGATCGCAGATTCAGCCACACCATAAAACAGCAATAAGTCGGTTTGAGGCAAAAGTGAACCTCATGGCTATAGCTTTTCCATCTTTTCCCCTATTGACATTTGATTACGCAC